AATTTAAAGGGAAAATTGGTCTAAGGTCCCTCTCCCACTTTTCGTAAAGGAAGAGATTCACAAAATTATTTTTTGATGTCTAAGGTCCTCCCATCTATCACAGAGAAATTCAGCGACTCGTCACCACGATCAAACACGCACAGAGAGAGAGAGAGCCATGTCGTCGGAAGATGTGTCTGTGGAGAGGTTTAGGGAGGTTCTCGCGGAGCTTGATCGATGGAGAGAAGCTCCACGGCACAATCACAGTCACCGACGGACAAAGTTCTCAATCCATCTACAACCGAGATTGGGAAAATTTGCAAGGAATTGAATGTTCAGCTACACACAGATGCTACGCAGGCTTTGGGGAAGATTGCAATCTCTCTCTCTCTCTTTCTATATATATATATATATATATATTTATTGTTACTTGTTTGGATAATCGATTTGTGTATTGCATATCGTGATTGAGAAGGCAGAGAAATTTTCTGATTTGAACCCAAAGAAATTCTTGCGAAAATCAGAGAAATTCTCTGGAAATCTAAAGAAATTCCAAAACAAAATCACTTCCCAAAATATGTCTTGGAATAAACAATTCCCATGTTTAATCATTTAATTTTTTTTCTTTAAAAAAAATAAAAATTGATGTTTAATCTATACACACACTGATATTTAATCTCTCTCTTGGTAGCTTTGACAAAAAAAAGATTAAAATTGATGTTTAATCTCTCTCTCGGCAGCTTTGACAAAAAATACACACACTGATATACGCATGACACAGCAGCACACACGGGCATGGAGACCATAGAAACCCATTTCTCTCTAATCTCTCTCTCTGCATGTCCGATCTATACACACATGTCTCACATGGAGGGGAGTAAGCCCCCACTTCTATCAAGAGACGGATCTATCTCTGAAACTATCTCTCTCTGTCTCAGACTATCATCTTCGGTTCTATCTTGTGATGGGTTGGAGGGGTGTTACCTTACACTGCTTGGAAATGTTTAGGGTGGCAAAATGGTTTTTCCACTGGTATGTATTAATGTGTTTCATGAAATTTCATATTGAATGTTTTGAGCTATGATATTCTTGCAGAAAATGTGTCGGTGGAAGCATATGGAAGGGAGAGAAATTTGAAATTTCTCTGGAGAGTCCATGAAAGGCCAAGGAGGCCAGAGAAATTTTCAAATTTCTCTAGAGTGTTGAGTCCAGGAGGGCAGAGAAATTTACAGTGGGAGGTTTAGGGAAGGTCAGCTGAGGCTTGAAAACGTTTCTGGAAAGTACTTGGCAGACTGCAATGAAGCTTCAACATCCAAATTAGGATCCAACTGTACCGAAGCTGCAAGGTTGTGGTCTGTCTTGGAGCTCATGTCCCAAGAATTTCTCAAATTTCTCTGGATTCAACCCAGAGAAATTTGAATTTTCTTTGGATTCAACTCAGAGAAAATTCAAATTTCTCTGGGTTCATTTTGACCCGTTTCTTTCGAGGCGAGCAAGGGGGTCTAACTCTAAATTGCCTCTTGTTGATCCAACTCTACCGAAGCTGCAAGGTTGTTGTCTATTATACATATAAAAATTAGGCTAGAGTGGCAATTTTTCTAATTACTCTCTCTCTCATGCTGTTGCTTGGTATATCTAACATGAAATTTTTGGTTTTTCAGGTGATGTTGAAGCTTCTTTGAGTTGGTGTCCCAGTATTTTTTGAATTCATTGATTTTTTTTTTCAATTGTTTGGGCTTGATTTTCTTGGCTGGTTTTGTTTTTTAATTTCTTCTTCATTCATCCGTGAATTAATAATTGTAAATGCTACCGACACCGCCAATCTATAAATATAACTATCCTTTCTTGTTGCAGTACACAAAACATAAAAGGTCAGAACGTTGAGTTCACAGGTTTCATTGAGTTTTCACAGGTTTAATCGTGTCTAAGATGAAAATATTGCACTGAAGAGAAGAAGAGAATTTCTCTGGATTGAATTTTCTCTGGTCGAATTTTCTCTGGACTGAAATTTCTCTGGATTGATGTTGAGGGACCTTAGACATCATGAAAATAGTTGATGTCCTTTATACTATAAAATCATAATATCAAGGACCTTAAAAAAAATACCCCAAATTTAAATATAATATTTTATCTTATTAATTATTTTAACTTATTTCATTTTTATTAATTATTTTAGTCTACACTCAACTTGCCAATCAGAGCAATGTTAATTTTTTTTTTTATTCAAAATTTACCAAATGATCCCGTGCAATTCACAGTCATGTGAGTGTTTGACAAAAGAAAAATGCCTAAGACCCCCGGTGTCACTGGGGGGTCGTGTGTGTAATTTTTTTTTTTTGGTTTCAATGAATGGCAGCGCGCTACGTCACTGGGGGTCTAAAGCAGCGCTGTTGATAAAAACTTTAGTAGAAATTTTGAAATCTTTAACATTTTTATTTTATCAATTGTTTGAATTTTTCTCAAATTCAAACATTTGAATTTGTGAATTTACAGAATTCGTGAAGTTTAGGGGTTGTTTGGAATGACCTAAATAAGTGCACTTTTTGTCTTTTTACAAAAAGATGTGCAGAAAAATATAGAGGTGATGTGATAGAAAAAAGATAAAAAAATAGATTATTTTGTGTATGTCAAACTTGGCCTTATTACGGTTTTTATTTTGATATCAATCCGATTATCATTTTTTTTTTGTCTCCGAAAAAATAAACAACAAAAATATTTTTAAAATTAAACCATCAAAATTTTTTTTTTAGACAAACATAGTAAAATAAAAATGTTACAATTTATTGATCTAATTTTTCTCATTAATGATATAGACGATGAGTCTTATAAAATAAAAAAATTTAAATCATTAAAATGAGACCCATAATAAACTTTATGATCCCTCCAAGTTCTTCCAAATTAATATTTAAATTTACGACAGTCTAACCCTTTATCAAGTGAACCCTCTTGTAACTATAATTTTAAAAAATAAATTTATTTAGACATTTTAACCCTTTATTTAGTTATTACTAAAATTTCCACTAGCTAATATCAAATTATGATCCAAATTGGTAAAATGTTGGTCATTGAAGATGGAATGACATTTTTGATTTTTTTTATTAAAATTATTTTCTACCAAAATGTCTCATGAAATAAAATTGTTCATTAAAATTGACATAATGAGGGCATTTGGTTTGGTAATTGTATTTTTCTTTTTGGTGTGAGGTCTAAACTCATATGAAAAAAAGTTTGATATCTTTATAGGCTTAGACTTGGTAACTTTGGTATATTGTTTTATTTTGGGTTCGTTTGGGAAGTGGGTTGATTTTTTGGCTATTTTAGTCCGTGGCTAAAAGGTCTCGTTTGAAAAAGGCTTTTTAATTTTTTAAATTTTTTTGTGAGAAAAAGAATATAATGATTATAGGTTAGATCTAATGTTTTGTCTTATTGGGCTAAAATAGTCTATTTTATCTTATATGGCTATTTTAGCCCCAACTCATCTTCCCAAACAAGCCTTACTTCTAACTATTGTGAGTTAGTAAAAAAGTTAAAAAGTTACTAAAAAAATCAAAAAGTTAACAACTCATACCAAAAAGTCAGAAATTTAATTTTCTCTCTACTTTTTGTACATCTTTTTGTAAAAAATCAAAAAATCATCCCAAACATTACATCATATTTTAACCAAAAAGTTAAAAAAATTACTAAAAAAACTTATTCCCAAACAAGGTTAGTACTTTCTCTGATGATGTAAAACCCACAACTTATATGGAAAGAAGTTTGATGTTATTTGTAGGCTAATGAGTTTCGTATATTGTTTGACTTTGTTAACTTTTTAACTATTGTGAATTAATAGTCTTATTTGATGATATAAAATTTTATTATATTTGTAAAACTCTCTTATAGATTGACAATATATAATTGCTATAGCGAGTTGCACATTACATAATAATTTACGTCTCGTTTAACAATTCCACTCTTTAGTTTAAAAGATAAAAAATTACTAAAAAAATTAAAAAATTAACAATTTATATATATATAAAAAAATTATTTTCTCTACCCTTTGCATTTGTTTTTTTGTTGGTAAAAAGCGAAAAATTCATTCCAAATAAAATGATTGATTTTAGAATAGACTATTTTAATAATTTTTTAGTCTATTGGTTAAAATATGAGATGAAAAAAATTACTTATGTTTGGGATAATTTTTTTATGGGGTATTTTTTTTAAGGTCCCTGATATTATGATTTTATAGTATACCTTGAATCAAGCAAGGATACAAATGGACATACTCAAATTTCTCTGAGATATGTTTAGGGACCTTAGACATCAAAAAATAATTTTGTGGATCTCTTCCATTACGAAAAGTGGGAGAGGGACCCTAGACCAATTTTTCTTTTTTTTATTGTTTATGAAAAAAGGTGTAAAAAGTAAAGAGGAAATGAATTTTTTGACTTTTTTGTATAATTTTTTTGACTTTATAACTTTTTAAATCATTTTTTTTACTATTATAAGATGTTGAAATTTAATTTTTTTTATTTCATTAGTCTATTTTTAAAATTTCTGACTATTTTAACCTAGTTAAAAATTTTCGTTTGAAATTTTTTTTTATTTTTTTATAATTTTGTAAAAAAATGAAAATAATTATAATTTAAATATAATATTTAATTTTATTTTTTAATAAATTAAATTAGTTCCAACCATCCAACAAGGAATGAAAGTTTGGGGTGAATTGATATTATTTTAATTAAAAAAAATAAAAAATTTTTTTTAATTTAATAAGATAAAATATCATATTTAACTTATAATTATTATATTTTTTCGTTCACAAAAATTTTAAAAATTTAACTCAAAAAAAACTTTTAACTTAAAACTAAAATAATTAAAGTGAATCCACATCCCAAACCAACTCTCGGTTTCAAAAGGACAGGAAAAGCGATCGGCGTGTGAAAATCACTCCCCCGCACGTTCGGGTTACCCATAATTCAGGCACGTGTCGATCAAACACCAAGGATCAGGTCCCTCCCACTATTTAGCTTAGATTAGATCCATCTGCCATACATACACACGCACCCAACTGCCGTCACTGTAAGCGCTTTCCAATCTCTCTCTGTTCACAATTTAAAATTTTCAATTTCTTCTCGTTCTTCTTCTTCGTCTCCTTCTTCTTCTTCTTTCTTAGCTCTGAAAAATTACATACATTATTTATAGATAGAGACACAAAACAACCACCACCGGTGATTGATGTTCTCTTCTCTCTGCATATTGTGATTCTCATGATCAATGCGATTTCTGATTGAGATAGTTGTGGTAGATTTGTGAATTTTTTGTTTTTATCTACCTCTCTCTATATCTCTCTCTCTCTAGAGCGAGAACGAGTGACATTCTCTCTCTCTAGAGAGCTATGGGAGCTTGCGTGTCGTCGCCCGAAGGTTGCGTAAGGGTTCGATTAAGTTCGTCGAAGAAGAAGTGGTGTCGGAAGAGAAAAAAATCAATTCAGCCAAGAGTTTCGTCTCGCTTCTCTCATGGATCGCCTGGCCGGGTCGATAAGCCCTCTCCTCTTGATCGCTCCTACCACAATCCCACTTTTCATGGTTCTCTCTCTCTGTCTCTCTCTCTCTCAATTAACATGTATAATTAGGGGTTTTGATATAGAATTTGCTTTGAAAATTGATTATATTTGGATTTGTAGCTAGCTGCATTATTATTATAAATAATTTTATTTATTTATTTTTTTTGTGACAAGTTTGTTATTGCAAAGCTGTTATGTTAGCTCTGTTGAGATGAAATTGTGCAATTTTAGATATGGATGGGGGGGAGGGAGGGTTTTTCTACGAAGGCCTGAAGAGAGAACAATGGCTTAGACATGGATGCGGTTTATATATCATCAGCATTGTAATCTGGCCTAGTTACTTATTTACAAAACGTGGATCTTGTAAATGAATACCTCATGCATTGACCTTGAAGAAATTTTAAGAATTGCCTTACAGTGTCTGTCTAGTTGCTGGGGTTGACCTCTTTGAGCCAGATTCTTAGCTTTCTGGGAGACAAGTTGAGTCTAGGGGTCTGATCTTAAAAGTGATGTGGGTAACTTTTTTTTTTTTTTTAAATGTTCATTATGGACTAAAAAGTATAATGTATTTGAGATTCAGGGGTTTTGGAGGGTCATTGAGCTTACTCCTTGAGCCAAAGAAAAGAGTTGTACTCGGGTTAGTATTACGAGTCTCGTATGTTTCAATATGAGCAACGGTGGATGTTTCTCATCTTGGTCATTTGGGTTTTGCATAATGCATCCTTAATGTGAATGACAAAAAAAAAAAAAGAAGACTTGAGAAGTGGGGAGCTCTACAGGGTGGTTGAATTTATGTGTGCAAGCCAGTGGTTTGAGGAATTAAGTTCTAATGTGAGTGGCTTAATCATACACACAGCTTAGGTGCATGTCTTGTTGGGGTGAGCCTCAGATCAATATTTTAGTTGATTCCTTGGATTTCTTCCTTGTATCCATGGGGGAATGCCTTACAAGTCTTTTAGCTTGAACAAGCCTAACCGGTTTCAAGAAATTATTTTTATGTGGAAATCATGTATAACAGAAAGTGTTAAGATAGTCCTCGTCAAATTGTAGAATTTTTCTATGCCAAATGTTATATCATTCTTTTATATGCACTACATTTTTATTACAATATCTTCATATAGTTGGAGCTTTGGAAGCTTTGAATTGGTTTATATATTTTGATTTTGGTAAGTTTGTATTGCTTAGACATTGCCTCATCTCGAAACTATGTATAACTGCTACAATAGCTGCTTGATTCCATGTGAAGTTTTTGTTATCTTTTGCAGTTGTTCTTACCTCATTTTTATTGCAATGTAATGGCAGTTGCAGGGAGTAATGAGGAGGCATGGTTTGATTCTGTTATGGTACTTGAGTCTGACTGTGATGAGGATTTCCAGAGTGTGCAGGATGGTATAATATCTGAAGTTATTGTTTTTCAATGAGATTTGAATTTTGTTTCTTGTTCTGTTTTTGATTAATCAATAATGTTTCTAGCTAATTATGGGGTACATTTTCTATCTGCAGATGTTCTATCTCTGAGTGGTCTTGAAGCTGCATCAGTATCAAGTATTGATTCTCTTAGAGAAGCTAATCATGGAGACTCTACTGTCAATGCCTCTTCTGCTGATCAGCTTCAGAGGCCAGGGGACTCGTCAACAGGAAATTCTGCACACAACTCTGTCAAAGAAGTTGCTAAAAATTCAACACATTCGGATGATGTTAATGGCAAACCAAAATCTGTAGAACCTCTAAATGAAGAAAGGCAACCTGTGTTCCGGGATGAGGTGTCCTCAACGGATGAAGGTGCTGGCAGGGAGGGACTGTTGGATAATTGTGGAATTCTTCCAAACAACTGTCTTCCTTGTCTTGCTTCTACTGTTCCATCAATTGACAAGAGAAGGTCATTGACCTGTAGTCCACCAAGTGCAAAGAAAAAGGGTACCTTAAAACTTTCCTTCAAATGGAGGGAAGGACATCCTAGTGCTGCTTTACGTGAGTACTATTACTGTTGTCTTCTTGTAGTTTTGATAACTTGGAGAACAACATATAAATACATATAGTATGCGAATAGTTATTTTACTATCATTCTCAAGATTATTATTGCTAGTGCTCTCAGTTCCAAATCTCCTAATTAAAATTTTGAATTGGACATATACATATTTGTTAATTGTCCATTGTAATGGCATTTTGTTATGAATTGTATGCTATTTCGATCCTAAGAAGGTAGCAGCGTGTATGAATTTTACTTAATTAATTTTTTTGCAGTTTCTTCGAAGATGCTTCTGCAAAGACCGATAGCTGGTTCTCAAGTACCATTTTGCCCAGTAGACAAGAAGATGTTTGATTCTTGGTCACATATTGAACCAAATACATTCAAAGTTCGGGGCGAGAACTATTTTAGGTACAAAAACAGTACTAAGTTGGTTCATACTTATACATTCATAGAACATCTTCTTTCATATAGATACATATGAAAGCAAATACACACATATATGCACAAAATACATATGTATATATGAATAAAGGCATGCAGAGCTCTGTAATTTATAATTCACATTGGTGACTTGTCTGTGATATCTAAGTGCATTTCATATGGAAACTCTTTTTTGCTTTATGGCAGGGATAAAAAGAAGGATTTTGCTCCTAATTATGCCGCATATTATCCATTTGGAGTTGATGTATTCTTGTCTCCCCAGAAAATTGATCATATCGCTCGGTTTGTGGAACTTCCTGTTATTAATTCTTCTGGAATACTTCCACCCATCCTTGTTATAAATGCTCAGGCATGTCCACCTTTTATTTTTGATTACGTGCACTCAATGTTTATTTTTGTGCTGTGGTTAAGGATTTAAAGCAGTTTTCATGTGCTTGGAGATATCAATATTGCAAAACTCTGTTTATTCCAAGAAGCACAAATATTTAGTCATTACTGAACTGACTTGACTAGACTTTTCTGTTCACATTCTTACCCGTTGCACGTCTCCAGCTTCTTCCTTGTCCAAGACTTTTTGTTGACAAACCATCTCCAGTTGACTTTTCCTTACATTGTCTATGAATGATGCTGCCTTCCAATTTAGTGAATCCCTTCTTCACTGTATTTCTACTATTGTCACAAGTGTTAGTCTCTAGTCCGTGTTTCTAACTGTGTGGCTTGAATAGGAACTTTGAATTTCAAACAGTTCATTTCTCTGAGACTTGAGTCTTTTTCTTTTCTTTTTTCCCCCTGGGCAGAATTGTCCCCTACTATTGTTGCTATTCTCCTCCCATCTCTTGATACTGATATATTTCTTTTGGTCCTACAGATTCCACTTTATTCTCCTTCTCTTTTCCAGAGTGAAACTGATGGGGAAGGGATTAGTATCGTTTTGTACTTTAAGCTTTCGGAAAGTTACTCTAAGGAACTTTCATCCAATTTTCAAGAACACATCAGAGTAAGATGAAATGTTATATATTTTCGTTTCAGTGTTTTTGTGATGTACAATTGTTACAGATTATTATTATAATTGGAAAATCTGGTGTTGCCAATGAAGAACATCTTGTGGATTCTTTGGAACATTGTTGTTGTAAATGGTTCATTTCTATAATGTGATGCTAACGACTAGCACACTGCATTTCTGTAATGATGATCTTTCAATCTGACATATATATGATTCTTTGTCTTTTCTGTTGTCTAGACTGGAAGGTCATTTTTTTGGTTTTCTGTTATTTATATGCCCTGAACCGCCATAACTAATGAGGTAATGTCCATTTTCTTCCTTCTGGAACAGAGGATAATTGATGATGAAGTAGAAAAAGTCAAAGGTTTTCCTGTAGATGCAATTGTACCCTTCCGGGAAAGGTTGAAAATATTGGGTCGTGTAGTAAATGTGGAAGACCTTCATTTAAGTGCAGCGGAGAGGAAGCTTATGCACGCTTATAATGAAAAACCTGTTCTTTCACGTCCTCAACATGAATTCTTCTTGGTAAGTTCAGAAAAAAATCCTAAATATGAAAAATCCAATTCATCATGTTAGTTTTATACAACCTTTTACTTTTGTACATTTCAGTTCAAAATGATGGTATTTGATGTTTTATGATAAACTAGACTTAAGTTTGTTTGAGATAATGTGAAATTTGCATCAATGTTGTTATGATATGCTCACAGTTCTGTGTTCATCACTCTTTCATCCAGATATGGTCCCATCTTATTTGTTACGGTTTCACGTCATCAGCATATTTAATATACATTTATTTTGAATGGATTTTTGGGTTTAGTCTGTTAGATTACAAAAATTAGCCTTTAATCTGCTGACAGTGGGACCTCAAAGTTGGAAAATCTTAAAAAAATTCTAAAAATTGTATTCAGTTTAACAAAATCGTAAGATAAACAAAGTACATCATCTAACATTGTGCATATCCGGGCACTTTAACTGAAAATTTGTGTCACTCAGAAGTCATGGTATTGTGTATTTGGTAGTTGACACTCAACCTGATGCTGTGTTGTATTGTGAAAATCAAGAATTCTAGAAAACTATAAAAACATTGCTTTTTCAGCATGCTTTCATTCTCAGTGACACTACGAATTTTCTACAGGGAGAAAATTATTTAGAGATTGATTTGGATATGCATAGATTCAGTTACATCTCTAGGAAAGGGTTCGAAGCGTTCCTAGATAGACTAAAGCTCTGCATCTTGGATTTTGGCCTCACAATTCAGGTAAGTTTAACCTCTCATTCTTCTTCTTCTTTTTCGACATCAGGTAGGGTTTTGCAAGCATTACTAACAATAAATTTTGTCTGCACTGTAAATCAGGGGAACAAAGCTGAAGAGTTGCCGGAGCAGATCCTATGTTGTGTACGGTTAAATGGAATTGATTATGTGAATTATCAGCAACTGGGATTGAGTTAGTGTCCCTTTGAATAAAGTCAACGAACACTGTAAGGATTGAAGTTAATATCTAATAAAAGGCTAATTTTTATAAATGCATTTGTGACATCTTATTTTCTCGTTCTTAACTTTTGCTTCGCCTCCAATTACTGATGGTATATGTTTATATCTGTATAAAACACATCTAACAAATGGTACAAGTCTTAGGCGCTGTTTGGGAAGTTTATTTTTTGGTTTTTTTTTTCACTATAAGACAAATTGGTTATAAAACAAAAAAAAAAAAACAAATCCAAACAAAATATTACATCAAATTCTATAATCATTTCACTTTTTCTCTCACAAACATTACATCCAACCACAAAAAAATTCAACTATCTTTCCAAACACAAAAAAAATTCATAATATCTTACAACTAAAAAAATCTACAAAAACATTCACTTTCCAAACACCCACTTAGACAGGAAGAGAAAGCATGTTCTTGAATACTACCATTTTTGAATGCCATAATGTTCACTAAGGTGCTTTAGTACATATACTAGTGTGAATGTGGCTTGGCTTGCCTGCTTCTATATAGAACACATCTTAGATACTCTGGAGAGATATGTTTTTTCTTGAATAATTAACAATTTATAATTGATTAAGATATTTGGAGTTCAAGCCTTGCAGGGAATAAGAGGTTTTCCACATAGGCCTCTGTTTCCGGTGTATGAGCTATTAGGAAAATCACTTAGAGGCTTCCCAGATGGAATTTCTCCCACCAGAAGATTATCCGACAAATCCAATTCTGTCAGCCTTTTCAACTTCAAAAACCCGTTAGGTATCTCACCGGTAAATCGATTTTTCTGCAACTTAAGCCTCTCTAAGGAGCTTAGAGTTGCCATAGAATCCGGTAAGTCGGAACCTATCTCATTGCAACTCAAATCCAAACTCTGCAACCCTTCCAACTGCCCTACAGAGCTTGGTAACCTACCTTTGAGATTGTTATGTGATAAATTTAGATACCGAATCTCATGTTGTGTTCCTTTCCCAATCTGTTCAATACCATCCGAGAATGTATTATCTGAAAGATCTACATATGTTAATGACCAACCTTCAAAGACTTGATTTATTGGTCCTCTTAGCTTATTTGAGTGTAGGTCGAGCACGCCCAAGCTTTGAATGTCTGTAATAGTAATAGGGATATTCGAAACCAGCGAATTCCTTGAGAGGTTCAGCAAGTAGAGCTGTGTAAGGCTCCCTAGCCATTCAGGTATTGTTCCCATAAGTTGGTTAGCCGACAAGTCCAGTTCCAATAACGAACTATGAGTCGATCCCAATAATTCTGGGATTTCCCCTTGGATCCCACATCCAGCTAAGTGAATCCCGTCGAGGGACTGCAATCCCACAAGCCACTCGGGTATGGATGAAAGGTTTAACTGGTTGAATGATAGATCAAGTATTTGAAGATTTTGAAGTGAAGATATCTCGCTAGACAATGGTGATTGAATCATGTTATGAGAGATACTCAAAACCAGAAGCTGTGAGAGCTGACCTATTGATCTTGGTATTTGACCGGATAACTGGTTGTCACTCAAATACATCTCCGACAATGATGACAAATTACCCAAACTCGAAGGCAGAGTCCCTTCAAGCCTGTTGTTAGAGAGGGAGACTCTTTGGAGGGAGGTTAGGTACCCAAAGGTTTCTGGTATCGTTCCGGTGAGATGGTTGTCGTGCAGACTGAGAAATCCAAGGGATGGCATTTGATCAGAGCTTGCAGGAAATGGGATATCCCCCGCAAGATTGTTGGTGTTCAAGTAGATAATTGAAATGGCAGTTAAGTTGGTTACTGAAACTGGGATTTTCCCGTTCAAGAAATTGCTCGAAAAATCAAGCTCTTCCAAAGCCTGCAAATCACCAATCCTCACCGGTATATGACCAGAAAGACAATTTTCTTGAAGATTCAAACTCACCAGATTTGTGAGGTTTGTTATAGAATCCGGTATTGAACCTGAAAATCGATTGGAATGTAGATGGAGTCTTGTAAGACATTTAAGACTTCCAAGACTTAGAGGGAGATACCCAGAAAATCTGTTCTGATTCAGAAACAGTTCTTCAAGTTTTGACAGCTTTCCAATGCTTTCTGGCAATGGACCAGTGAGATTGTTGCCGAAGAGCCAGAGCTTTCGGAGCTCTGGCAAGTGAAAACCGATCGATGTTGGGATGTTTCCGATTAGCCTGATGAGCCCACTAAGATCAATGACTTGAAGAGAGGTGAGGTGGGTTATGGAAGGCGAAAGCCGGCCTTCCATGATAATCTGCAGAGGAGCGTCATTGCGGGTAATCAACCCCGGGAGGTTAATTTCTGTCACTCTCCCAGTTGTGTTGTCGCAGGAAATGCCTTCCCAGTTGCAGCAGCTTCGGCCAAGCCACTTCGCAAGGCGGCCGGAGGTGTCGAGGCGAATTCCGGCCTTGAAATCCGTTAGAGCCTTGAGGTCATTGGGGTTGCAGGCTTCACCAACTATTCCAAGAGCAAGGATCAGAAGAAGCCATAGCAGGAGATGGGATTTCATTTTCTGTGGAGTTTGGGATAATGGTCTCATTGATGATTTGTTCACCGAGAAAAAGAATTAATAGTTTGCAGGTAACACACTCAATACTTACTATTGCAGGTTACAGGCTTGAATCATGGAAAATAATTAGTGTTGGTCAAAGATATCAGTGACCTTTTCTTTTTATGTCATCTTTTTTCTGTTCTTTAGTTAAGTAGGGGGAAAACAATCATTGATGTATCTGAATTATGATGTGTACAACTAGGGTAAAAAATTCAATTGTTTTGGCTATTAAAAAAATTGGTAGGTGTAGTCATATTAATGGTTTTGTGTAGTGGTAAAGTAGGGTCACAGGGGTGTTTGGCAGTGGTTTTACAAGCAGTTTATAATTTATTTTAATTTAAAAGTTTGAGATAGATTATTTGGTACAATTTTTGCTTATAATTTATTAGATAGAAATAACTTAAATAAGTTAAAAAAATTAATTTTCCAGAAGCTAAGAGAGAATATTTTTAGTTTCTGTTTTTTGATTATCAATTTTTAATTTAAAATAATTTTTATCAAACACCTCAATTGTGTAGTAAATAGGGTCAATTCCAGACCCAGGCAGGAGTTCAAGTGGTGTTGAGAGGGTGTGGGATCTCATGTTTGAGTTTAAGGAGAGATATGATGTCGTAATCTAATTATTAACTTGTTAATATCTGAAAAAATATATAAATTAAAAAAAGTAAAATGGAGCAGATTCTTGTGGACTGAATAGTACTGTTCAGTCTGTCAAGCGTCCGCGAATTTCAAATCGATAATCTACAGTGTTGATTTTTTTAAAATCTCAACATATTATCTAATAATCAAAGTTACGTTAGTTTGAAGCCAGGGTGATATCACTTCTCTCAATAGTTGCAAATGATTAACATTTATATGTTGTAAGTTGTCCTAAAGTGCCAAAACATATGACCTAAGAAGCTGCAATTATGCCCAGTGGATCAACTGAAAGGGGATCATGGTTCGGAAGAGAGGATCCGGGATGCTGATCGACCCGATTTGCTTCTAGAGGAGAGACGATCCATTAAGGAGGAGGAGGCTCAGCGTCGGCAGTCATCTGGGGTACGAGAGGCTGTGGATATGGATCGCGAGATGAATTCTTCGAGGACTAATCAGTTTCGACTAACGAGGGACGAGATTTAGCTAGGATTAGCCAATTTCGTGAATGGATCTATCGAGGATCTGCAAAAAACAGAGGGGAATATGGAAGAGTGGGTTGATGAAAGGATAGAGGATGTGAACAATGCTGATTTGGTGAGTCTCATAGTTGATGATAGATGTTTTGAGCCTAACGAAGTGCTGTAAGCTTTGGAAATGTATGGGTCTGAGACGAGCTCTGAGTTTGTCTCTGGTTCAGAAGGCGATGGAGGTGATCAAGAGGAGTATGATTTTCAGTTGTGTAATCTCTTTAAGGATCAAGGCACTGTTGAGAATTAGGAGGCCAAGGGTGTCTCTGAAACAATGGATCATGTCAGTGACACTATTATCCAAGATTCCACAGTTCTATCATCTGAGAGGGGTAACATTGCTAGTCAAATCTTTTCTTCTCTTGGGGATGGGGTAAGGGGATCTCAGAGTCAGGGTCTTGATGGTTCTATTAGGGGAATGGATGATCAAGGAGCCTTGCTAGATATTTCCAGAGCCATGATGATTGGCTCTACTATTAATCCTGTGTCCTATAATGCTAACATTCTTGTAGGCCAAGTAAATGATGCTCAAGCGAGAGATTCTGTTAATCATATGCCCAGGAGAAGCTGTGTTTTTAGTGAAGTGAGGGATAGTGAGGTTGAAACAGAGCATTGGTTGATGAAGTTAAGCAAGTATGCGTCTTGTCCTATTGAGGAAAATGAAATACCTCTTTTCAAGCATTTGCTTCAAGTTATGGGGCTTTCGTTAGTAAAGGGAGGGGATTAGTGGAAAGGAATTTAGTGTCTCTAGGGGAGAGTGTGTTAGAAGGGGAGGGGCCTCGGTTAGAAGGGGGGCTAGGGAGTTAAGAAACTTGGTGAGCACAATTAATTATGATAAGAGACATGAGGAGGTTAAGGGTGGTAATGTTTCTCAATGAATATTGTTAGTTAGAATGTGAGGGGTTTGGGCTCCTGGAAGAAGAGAGAGGTCATTAGGGATTTTTTGAGGAAGCATCAACCTGATATAGTCATTTTTCAAGAAACTAAAATGGAAGCTTGTGATAGGAATTTCATTAAAAGTGTTTGGGGAGTTAGGCATAAAAAGTGGGCTTTTGTACCATCAGTGGGAAGGTCTTGAGGTTTTTTTGTGTATTTGGGATGAGAGGGTGGTTTTTGATTGTGACTCATTAGTTGGAGAGTTTTCATAATCTGTTAGGTTCAGAAATTTAGATAATAGTGAGTGGTGGTTGTTGGTGGTATATGACCCAAATTGTCCCGCTAAGAGACAGGCTTTGTGGGAGGAGTTAGGTGGGTTATATGGATTATGCTACCCCAATTGGTGTTTAGGAAGGGATTTCAATGTGGTTAGGAAGGTTTCAGAGAAGCTTAATGGAGGTAGAATCAATAGGAGTATGAGAGATTTTAATGGGTTCATTAAAGGATGTGAGTTGGTGGATCCTCTTTTATTTAATGCAAGATTCATATGGTTTAATCTTAGAGAAAGTAGGGTATGTTCTAGACTGGATAAATTTTTATTTTCTTTGGGTTGGGAGGGGGTTTTCCCCAATGTGAGACAAGAGGCGTTTCCAAGATTGGTGTCCGATCATTGTCCCATTATGATCGAGAGTTGTCCTTTTAGGTTTGGTCCGGTCCCATTTAGGTTTGAGAATATGTGGTTGGATCATCAATTATTTAAGGAGAACTTTGTGGGGTGGTGGACTAATGCTAGATGTCACAAGTGGAAGGGTTTTAAATACATGAGAAAGTTGAAGGTCATTAGCTTTGGAATAGGGAGGTGTTTGGAAATTTGGAATCATCTAAACTTCAAGTTATGGGTAAAATGGAGAAGATAGATTCTTTGGAGATGCAGGGGAATGAGGTCGAGTATTTGAGGAGAGAGGGGAGGGAGCTAGACGTAAAGTTGGAAGAGTTGACTCTTAGAGAGCAGATTTTTTGGGCACAAAAAGTAAATGTAAGGTGGTTAAAGAAGGGGGATGTTAGTTCAAAATTCTTTCATAGGGCTGCGGATGGAAAAAGAAAGAAAAAGTTCATTAAGAGGTTGGAAGTAAGGCCAGGGGTAGTGGTGGACTCAGAGGAGCAAATAGTCCAAGGGATTTCTGATTTTTACTCAAAATTGTTTTCGAAGGATGAGATAGTCAGGCTTGGGATAGAAGGGATTGAGTGGAGGCCTATTGATCAGGAAAGTGCCATCTGGTTAGAGAGGTCTTTTGAGGAGTTAGAGATTAAGGATGCAGTTTTTGAGTGTGAAAGGGATAAGGCTCCAGGCCTCGACGGGTTTTCAATGGTAATTTTTCAAGATTGTTGGGAGGTGGGGATTTGGTGAAGGTTTTCATGGAGTTTTATGAGGCAGGGGTGGTTAATTTATGTGCTAATGCCACATTTATCTGTTTGATTCCTAAGAGGGATGAAGCCATTCGAATTGGGGATTTTAGACCAATTAGTTTGGTGACATCACTCTATAAGATTTTAGGGAAGGTTTTGTCAAAAAGGTTGAGGGCTTCTTTAGGGGATACAATCTCTTCGACTCAAGGTGCTTTTATGCAAGGTAGATAGATTCTATATGTGGTTCTGGTGGCGAATGAAGTGGTTGAGGAGTGTAGAAAGTCTGAAAAGAGAAGTTTGTGTTTAAGGCAGATTTTGAGAAAGCGTATGATCATGTAGATTGGTATTTTTTGGATTTTGTGACGGATAGGAAAGGGTATGATGAGAGATGGAGGGATTAAGGGATGTTTGGCGTCTTGTAATATGTCGGTGATAGTCAATAGTAAACCAGGGCAGACTTTTAAGGCATCTCGAGGGTTGAGACAAGGCGATCCTTTATCTCATTTTCTCTTTATCATGGTAGCGAACGTGTTAGGCATGATGGTGGAGAGGGCTAAAGAGGTTGGTCTGTTTGAAGGCTTACAGGTCGGTAGAGATAAGATTAGTGTGACACATTTGCAATTTGCGGATGACACTATTTTTTTCTTTAAAGGGGACGAGAGCCAAATTGTGAATCTCTGTTCGGTGGTTAGGCTTTTTGGGGTGCTCTTTGGTCTCAAGGTAAATTTAGAGAACAGTAGGGTTGCGGGTATTAATGTTGATTCAAAGAGTGGCTGAGTTACTTGGGTGTGGTGTAGGGACATTTCCGATGAAGCGTTTGGGGCTTCTGTTGGGAGGTAAACCCAATGGGTGAAGTGTTTTGGAATCCGATTGTGGAAAAGATAAGAAAGAGGTTAGAAGGGTGGAATAGGGCTTTACTATCTCGTAGGGGTAGGTACACTCTGGTTAAGACAGTGCTTAGTGGAATTCCAATTTATTTCATGTCTGTGTTTAAGATTCCAGTCAAGGTAGCAAAATCTATTGAAAAGTCAATGAGGGATTTTCTATGGGAAGGGAAAGATGAGAAAAAGAAGGATCATTTGGTGAACTGGGAAACGGTGTCCTTATCCAAGGAGAAGGGGGTTTTGGCCATTGGTAAAATAGTGGCTAGAAACATGGCTTTGCTGGGCAAGTGGTTATGGCGATTCCCCAATGAGTGTGGTTCATTGTGGCATGCGGTTATTAAAAGTAAATATGGGATTCAGGTTAATAGCAGGGACACTCTCAGGTGGTCTCGACGGGTAGCGGGCATGCTCCTTGAAAGTCCATTTTTCAGATTTATCCAGTTTTGTCCCGATTCATTTCTGTGAGGGTGGGTAATAGGGAAATGGTCAAATTTTGGGAGGATGTTTGGGTAGGCTTGACGTCTTTGGCTGAGTACTATCTAATTCTGTATGTCGTTTTGCAGTGTCATAATTGTTCTGTTGCGTCTGTGGCGGGTTCTTTGGTGGTTTTTTTACCTTGGAATTTTAATTTCCATCGGAATCTCCTTGACAAGGAAGTTTCGGAATTGATTTCTCTTTTGTCAAGGCTCGAAAATGTTTCTTTGTCTCCAATGTTAAAGGATAGGTTGGTTTGGAATATTCATTCGTCGGATTCTTTTACTTGTAAGTCCTTTCTTGATAAAATCATTGATACTTCTCATTTTTCTCAGTTTCTATTTCATAATAAGATTTGGAAGGCATGTACTTCTTTCAAGGTGAAAGTGTACATGTGGATCTTGGTTCATGGGGGCACTCTGACAAATGATTCATTGCAAAAGAAGAGACGTTCGCGGTATCTTAATTCTTAATGGTGCATCATGTATTGTAAAAGTAGATAATCTCCGGATCATCTTTTTTTGCATTATTCGGTGGCTAGGTGGTTATGGCATAGGGTGTTTGGATAGGGTAGTGTGATGTGATGTGGGTGGCCCCAAAAGGATGTGTTCAAATGTTATTATTTAATTTTCAAGTTTTTGGAAGGTCGAAGAGGGCTAAAGTACTTTGGAGTGTTGTCGTCTTTGCAATTTTCTGGGTTGTTTGGTTGGAAAGAAATGCTCATGTTTTCAAAGTAGTTGCTCGGGATATAGACTACTTATGAGATAGGGTGAGATACTTGGTGTCTTTTTGGGCCTCGACGAGCTCAGTATTCCGAGGAATTTCTCTTTTTTTGCTTGCTACCGATTAGGTGTCAGTTTGTTCAGTGTAGTAGTTTTTTGAGTTTGGTATTTTTGTATTTTTGTATTTTATTTTCTCTTTTTGGTTTTTTTTCATTTCTCTTGTAAGAGGGTGCCTTATCCTCTTTTTTCTTGGCCTTGAGCCTTAATAAATCTTTGTTTGTTGCAGATCAAAAAAAAAAAAAAAGCTGCAATTGTGCATGCATCAGCTTCAACTAACTTGGACGGTCAATATTTGTTTAGGTAAGGGGAGATTTATGTATAGATTCTTATAAGTAGATTTATTATTTAATAGGTTAAAGAATTAATGACATTTTTAATCAAACACTATTGTGGAGGGTGATTTTGGGATACCCTTTTACTCCAAATAAGTCATTGGAAGATCCTTATTCTGTTATCTGAAATAGAAAAATACTCCGGTCAAGGGTGTCGGAATTAGTATTCCGACGAGCAAGTTAATCTTCTTTGAAAGAGAAAGAAGTGTTTGAATTTCTTTTAGTGCAGGTTTTTAAGATGTACATTCTTCTTCACCCTTACTTTCATTTTATAGTCACTCTTCATAAACTTTTTCTCCTGTAACTTAATCTTTCATCATTGCTATGTTAGAGTCCATTTCCCTGCTATACTTCTTAGAAAAGGACAGATTAGACCCACTTAAAGTGGGTTGCCATGCCAACTTATCCAATATATTTGCCCTAGACAAGGACAGATTGGACCCACTTAAAGTGGGTTGCCATGCCAACTTACCCAATATACTTGCCCTAGACGTATGACCTAGGTAACCTTAACTTGGCATTCTGCAACCCATTTAAATTTACTTGGCAATGACTTGTTTGAGCCCAATGGGCCTTGGCTAAATATGTTCCATTACAGATGGGCTTGGATATGCCCTGTTTGTCGATTAGCAATTTCATTTATTTGGCTCCCACAACTATTAAAAAACGTTACTAATTATTAATTTTCAGCGATAGTTTGAAAATTGTTACAAAAAATGTCACTTAATAAATGTTTTAGCGACAATTTAAAAAAAAATCACAAAAAAAATCACTAATTTTCAACTTTCAACAATAGTACGAAAAAAATTTCACAGAAAAACGTCACTAATTGTAAATTTTAACGATAATTTATAAAAATTGTGACAAAAAAAAACTCACTAATTGTCAATTTTTAGCGACATGCAAAAAAGCGTCACAAAAAATTATTTTAGCGATGATTTTACTGAGACTTATTTTCAATATGACTTGATGAGAATTAAGTACAACTATTAGAACTTATTGATAATTTACTCTTTAAGAGGATAATGGGTCAATCCCTTCCTCTTTCTTCTTCTTCTTCTTTTTTATTTTTATTTTTATTTTCAAATTATTTTGATACATATCGTTCTGTTATCAAATGATTTTCTCTCGAGTCCTCTCAAGTCTCACCACATAAGTATTTCCAGAGTCCTAATTGATATCCCGTTGTCTGCTATTTTATTTTATTGTTTTATTATTTTATATTTTTCTGTTAGATATATTTTTCTTGCATCTAAGATTTATAAAATTCATCCTATCTAAAAAAAAATAAATAAAGATTTATAAAATTCATGTCCACTTGCTAGATTAGGGTACATTAAAATCCAAGTCTAAATTATTTTAGAGTTCTACTGTTCCTTAGATGTTGGTTAATAATATCAGAAAAGTTAGAATTCATCTTGATTTTTTTCTTTTTTGATCGGGATCTAATACTCACATTTTTTCATACGCTTTTGATATATTTTAATATTTTAATTGTGCACAAATTATATTTTTAATTATAAAATTTAAGAATATTATATTAAACAAAATCAACAATCAAAACTGTTTATTTTTTAGGTATTTGTGGGTAAGTCATGCATAAAAAAAAAAATCAAATTGATTCAATAATTGTAAACACATGATTTATTATATTTATCTATAAAAAAAATTGCAAACAAGTAAGACAGTCATAAAATAATTACACTACAGATAAAAAAAATTTAGTACAATTTTGACACACAAGAAAGACTAATACTAAACGCAGGCATAGACTTACAATACATAAGTACACATAAGACTTGCACTAATATGAAAATAAATTTATATCTCCACTAACTGTTCCATTGAAATGCATTTTCTCAAAAATATATATATATAAAAATGAATAATTTTTTTAAAGTCATACTTATTGTTCATTTTTTTGCATGCAAATATAATATATTTATAATTATCGGATCTAATTAATTATTTTTTTTGGAAAGAGAGTTGGGCTAAAATAGCTTTCTAAAAGACAAAATAAACTAAAATAGTCAACAAGATAAAATATCACATCCAATCTATAATCATTTCTTTTTCTTTCACAACTGTCAAATCAACTATTAAAAAAAAAAAGCCAACTAACTTCTCAAATATAATTATTTTAATCAAGTTAAAATAGTTAAAAAGTCAACTAAAATACCTAATTTCCCAAATAAGACCAAAATAAATCTTGAAAGTGAGACTTTTTGGACCGAAGAAAAGTTGTTTTATTTGGATTATCTTTAGGGCCATTGTATTTATACTAAAAAATTATCTCAATATGCTCAACTCAAATTTTAAAATTTTAATTCCTGTTATATTCTAATGTAAATTTACTAATAAAAACAACACATATTAAACCTTAAAAAAAATTATTATTTTTTTACATATTCTTCATATTCAATTCTCTTCTTCTTTTCAAAGTTTCAATTATTTTCTCTTTTTCTTCTTTTTCACTCCAAAACTCTAATCCATCCTACCAAAACTCACCATTATCATTAGCATTATTGTTTTTTATTATATTGTTATATGCAAATGAAAGAAAGTTTGAGTAAAATCAAACAATGAATGAGAGTAATAATCAAAATAATTTTTTGAAGTAACCCATTAAAAAGGAGATAAGTATTCACATAAATATTAAAGTACAATTATTGATTTTTGTATTTTTGTATTTTTTCACATAAAAGCGAATATTCTACCTGTTTTTAATCGTTATTGTTCAAAATTTTAGAACCAAACAAATTCACTTTGTTCGGTTTTGGAAGTCCGAATGCAAAATTCACCCTCTCATTCTCGTTCATCATTCTCCTTCGCCGGTGCCGAGTTTCCAGGTCGTGTTTTCAGTATATGCGAAGGGCAAAAAAAAATCATAAGTATTTTGAATTTCTTAATTTGTTTTATTTTGAGGTACCTCAAAAGGGTAAGTTAGAGAAGAAGAAGATATATTGAGAATAAATTATAATTTTAAATAATTTAATAGAATGTACTGAAAAATTAAATTCATTTAAATATTTTTTGAATGTAAATTAAATTCCTCTTTATCTTTGAGAGTACGCCTTAAGCCCGATAAGGGTTGGGCTTGGGCCGCCCATGTATCTGCAGAGGCCTCATCAGTAAGAGGTCTCTTCCATGATGGGACAAGAGATACTATTGTAAATAATAAAAAAAAAATTGTACAAAATATTAATACAGAATTATATATTATAAATATTAGTTTTACAATTTTCAAGAAAAAACATATCAAATTTTCGCTTAAAATTTCAAAATGTTATTATCATATATTTTTTGCTATAAATTATGTATAATTTTTTTGGGAATAATTACATTTTACCCCTATGATTTTGCGCATTTACACATTATCTCATTGATTTTTATAAATGTAATCATAAATCCCCTGTGGTTTTGAGTAATGTGCAAAAATGACGGAATCTGATAGACTTAACAATGCATGGGGCAGACATGCCAGAGAAGCATACTTGCATGGAATTAAGGGTTTTGGCGCCAAATTTGGAGTTTTGAAGATCTCATCCTCTCAAAGTTCCAACTATAGTATGAAATAGAAAATTAAACAGTGTAATCAAATATAAACATAATAAAAAAATTAATGGGAATCAAAATATAAAACGTAAAATCACATATTAACAATTTTTTGATTTTTTTTTATTTGAAAATTTATTTTTTTAACCAAAACCAAACAAATTTTTTTCTTTGGACTTTTTTAGTTAAAAAATTGCTTTTTCAAGATTACCAATTAGTAATAGTTACTTTCATCCCAGGATTTTCCAAGAAAATCATTATATATATACAATACAAATAGTTATATATATATGAAGAGAGAGAGATTGATTGGTTTAGTGATGGTATATATCTTTGCCTCCGACTTTGTCTCATCCGCCACCACCATCACTGTCGTACCTCCGTCTTATATGGTGACATCCTCATTTTCCCTCTTCCATTGGTCTTCAATGATGGTCATTCCATATCCACTCCTATCTCTCTATCGTGTGTTCTCTCTCCATTATCATCACTCTCTCTCTCGTGTTCTTTCGCCGACGGTGTCATCGTTGCCATCACCAAGCTCTCACCGCCACCGTCTCGATTATATCATATGTTCAGATCTGTGTATATATCTTTGTCAAATTTTGAGAACAAATTTTACATCATACAAATCTGAAGTTTCTTAGATCTGTTTGTATATCTTTGTCAAATCTCTCTCTCTCTCTCTAGTTTTATACACACAGGTTTCAAAAATAGATCTGATAATTCACAATTTGAAGATTCCACCATCGGAGACGATGGTTTGGTCTCCTGACAGAGATTGGTTTGCAGTGATAGTGCTAGTTCCAAAACAGAGATGGGTGCTGAAAGAGAAATAGAGAAAGAGAACAACAAAGAGAAACACCCGTGGATTGCTTCTCATAACTCTCTCTCTCTCTTTGAAAATCGTAATCAAGCAACTAAAGGGATTGTAGCATGTAAACACTATAAATATTTAAGGGTATTATAATTTTTTCATTAATTCTATTACGTCCCGTCACTTTTGCATATTATCCAAAATCACAGGGGGTTGATGAGTATATTTATAAAAGTTAGAGAGATAATGTGTAAACTCACGAAACCACAGGAGGTAAAATGTAATTATCTCAATTTTTTTTTGGGTATGAATAGACATTTTTTTAAGAGTAAAGTGGCTTAACTTTTCCTTTTTTATATATTAATTTCTATAGTAGTTGAAAAAATCATTTTTAATGAGGAAAATCGAAGAAAAATATGAGAAGGAGAAAATTTCACAAGACAAATTGAAAAGGGATTTTGTAACTAATGACTATTTTTATTTATTTATTTTTATTTACCAAATCAATTTTCAATTTTTTTTAAAAAAAAAATTAAAGGATGAAAAAAAAACTGAAATCGAAACCAAACAAGACAATTGATTTTACATGGGTTGGACCCTTCAACACATTTTTTTATTTAATTACAATATTTTATAGGATATTTAGTTTAACATTCCTATTCAGTTTTTAATAATGAAAAATATCCACAATAAATATATTTTTTTAGCCTAAGGTTCCTCCATATATCACACCCATTCTCTAGGGGTGAGCATGGTCTGACTTAGATCGGATTGGAGTAAAATCAGAACCAATCCGT